TGATAGCTTCATCTTTTGGAAATAAGCAAATATGGCAGAGTGGTTTGTCATGTAAGAACGAGATAGAAACAGGCCTGAATTGAGAAGAGAGATGTCACTTTAACACGATTATTTGTGCAGCCTTACTGGCTGGACTATCCCTCTACTGATCTCAGATTTTATTTACAGAAAAATGTACAGTATTAACTATAATCATGGTCAAAGTTGTGAAGTCAGTCCCCGGTCCTAGCAGTGTCACAGAACACTGGACTTTGATGCATCTGGCAGTCAGCTGGCAGCCAGTGGGTACTTTGTCCATCCATGTGTGGGGTCATAATCTGCTATCAGGACGACTGCTCAGTTCAGTCGCTGCTTATCAGAGGCAGGATTTGTCCAGGCCAGCAGATTAGTCACACCCAAGCTGTTATCTGAAGAGCTCTTACGATGGCATCACTTCATAGAGCACATACAACCCAGCACCTCTTGTCCAAATCCTTTGTCATGGTCATCTGTAAAGCAAGGGTCTAATCCTTCTGTGCATGTGTGCTGTGGCAGAGGGCTGCTGAACATTTCTGCCCAGCCTCTCTCTACATTCCCAGCACTGACGGGAGGGTTTGCTTAAAGCTTCCTCCCCACAATGTGAGTTCTGGCAAAGGAACACATAGTCACAGGTTCTCCCTCTTTCCCTGACGTGCCTGTTTTCTGTCAGTGCTGCCTTTCACCCAGCAGTACTTCAGAAGAGAAGCTGGGAAAAGCCATGCCACTGTCCAGGTCCCATAACAAATGGTTCTCTACTGTGCCCCACCCAGTGCATACCTGACACCAGGCATCCCCTTGGTCTCTGGAATGTTTTGCCATACGTAGTCATGCTTCTTAGGTTTGGTCCTGAATGTTGCTACTGAACCACTCACCACAGATTTGCAGATAGAATAGGAGGAACTGTTTATTAACGCATGCTGCACCCAGTTGGTATCCGTCATTATCTGCAGTACCTCCCTTCTCAACATGCAGTGGTTTCACTGAACAATGGATACATATTAATACATTTACATTAAACATTTAGCGACTTTATTAGTTCATAAACAATTATCTTTGCCAAAACTTCACAGCTTTTCCTAGCTTTTAACCATATTGCCAGTCTTCATTAGAAAATGTCATGTCAGTTTTATTTATAAAGCCCAGTATCACAAATCACAAATTTGCCTAAAGGGGTTTTGCAATCTGTACAGCATTTGACACCCTCATCCTTAGACTCTTGGTTTTAATCAGAAAAATAAAGTTAATCTTATTGTTTTCATTAACTGTCACTTCTTCATGTCTGCACTAACCACATGTCTGCACAACATTTATAGCAACTTATTTGCCTCAATTAAACGTTTGCTCCAATATGGTTACAACATCCTTGCTGTAATTATGTGTTACATGTGTTAATCCAGTCAAGATGATTTTTAAAAGAAGAAGATGCTGCTAAATTGCCATTACAGGAAACTGGAGGCTCACTGCAGTCTTGAAGTTTTTCCTATATATGCATGTGTTTTTGACAATTCAGTCAGTCATGAATAGGTAATATGTGGTTCACCCACACACCGTATGTTACCATGAGGATAGCTTAGCTTTTTTATTTTCTGCTTTAAAATATATTTGAGCTATTGAGCTAGTCTGCTTAGCTGCACATTAACATGAACAAATTGAGGTAGGATGTTTTATAAGATGAAAAACCTTCATATCAGTTACTAATCAGTATCCAGTACATGTTCACCCTCTTGTCCAAGCCGGCCCCTGCCTACTATGAGACAAACACATCACAACTAACGATTATTTTTATCTTCGATTAATCTGTTGATCATTTTCTACATCAATCGATTAGTTGTTTGGTCCATAATCTTGTCAGAAAATGTCCACAACCCGAATAAATTCAGTTAGCTGTCATAGAAGACAAAGGAAACTAGAAATGATGCACGTTTGAGAAGCTGGAATCAGAATTTAGAATTTTTTTCTTAGAAACAAAACAATTAATCGGTATGTAAAAAGTCGTTCTGTAAAATAAAAACATGTACGTTAAGGCTTTGACTTGCTTGAAATTAGGTGCTTGTTGGATCGTATAATTGTGCTTGAGGGCTGCGTCCAACAATTTACATGACTTTTCAAAACAATCTGACATACACACTCACTTCCCGTCACCTTTCTTCATATACAACTAAGTAGGGATGTCACGATACCAGAAACTTTGGAGTCGATACCACTACCAGTGAAATTTCCACAATTCTCAATAACCAAATCAATACCATGGTAAAAAACAAAAACAATAAATTCAATGTACTTCAACATACACTCCTTTTTATTAAAAACATTTGAACATTACAAAAAACAGTAGTCCATTGTCTAATAGATTGTTTTCATATTTACTTAATTCACTATTTAACTTAGAACTACTTTAATCTGCTCACCTTGCTTTTCCCTTCAGTACTGTTTTCTACACACAAACACACACCAGCTTGCCCCGCCTTGCCTCTTCCTGTTTCTCTCTCAGCAGTAAGTCTAATAAAGTCGCACAAAAACAAAACTCGTGAAGACAAAAAAAAAAAAAAGACACCTAAAAGGCAAGTTCTTGTCCATTTCAGGGAGGAGCAGGCTTTTGAACATTTCAAACTGATATAACACTGAGATGTGGTCCAGTGACACCTTGCATGACCTAGTTCATTTGAAGCATAATGAGGCATTATGCCTGATCACTGTCATCTGCTAAGATGTGTCTGACCAATCCTGATGGGATCACACCTCTCTTGCACCTTTTCTCTGTTTTTATAAGGCGCAAATTATATTGTGTCAGTGTTTAAGTTAGACCTCTGTCAAACCTGGCCTTCTCATTGTTTTTCTCTCAAATGTTATAGTATTAGATACAAGGAAGACTGCTGAAGGTGCTGTCCTCTATCCTGCCAACCACCTCACATCCTGGTCTCTTCTTACCGCATATTGAGATCTTAAGTAAATAGGGTGCTGTGTAGATACAGGTTCCTGTGATATCTTATACACACGTGGACAAAATTGTT